AAATGTATGGTAGGGGTAGCTAAGCTAAGTATGGAAGTTAGTATGAAGCTAGAAGCAAAATAAACTGCAGTATCACTTAGGTGTCAGCAATGTGTAACCATTAAGTGAGACAGGGAAAACCAGAAAGGACAGTTTTACTGACACAAATAAGTAAACACAGAAATAAAACCCCGAAAGGGAAATGAGCACACAGACGAAACGGCAATAAACAAAGTGTACACAAGATGAACAGCCAGAGAAATAAATAAGCAAAAACCAAAATAAATGCCAACAAGCAAGGCAGATGCAAAAAACCAAGCAGCTGTTAAGGAAGAGAAAAAGAAATGTTACATGCAAGTGGAAAAAAATCCCACTGCATGGAATTTCAGGGCTATATCCTAAAATACCCTGATTTCTGTGAATTCCATCGGAGAATTTTAATTGAGCAGACAGTATAGGTGGACACCAGTTGGTGGAGGCTTTGGGTTATCATTTCCTTCCACTCTTTCATTTGTTTTCTTAAAAGACCAAAGGTTTTTTTCCTGAGGTATGTGGGCATATTCATTGCTGTGTTTGTTGCAGATTCCCATAAAGTCGAATATTTGTGATGCTTCCCACAGCCATGCCTTAGGGGGCCTGTATTTGCAAAGTCTGTACAGTGAAGTATTCAGCTTTTGGTGGAAAAACTGATGCTCAGAGACTGGTGGAAATACTGTCTATCAAATACAGAAGATCTTTAGCTAATAAATTTTAAAACATCCTGCTTTAGTTTTGGGTTTACCCTCTTTAGCTATTCCCTGTTATTAAAGCTTCAGTGCTGGATGGAGGCTTTACTTCCTGGACGTTACCTCTTGGGCTATAATGGGGGTTACTAGAGGAAAAAAGTCATATATATTCTCAAATCAATGTATGTGTTTTTTCTAAACCAAAAACTTTCATGTTACTTTGTTATTAAAATATCTCCTTTTCTTTGCAGTAGAGAAAATTAACAACTAGAGTTTCAAAAATGTAGTTCGTGAGAATTCTGATGCTTCCATTTCCATCCTATTTTTTTCTTTTCTCTATACTTATGCATAAATAGTTCTTTGGTTGTACTATTTCTTATTTGAAGTTTTGTGCTTTTCTTCATCACCGTGGATGGCATTCATCTCTGCCAGAATGTCTACTCCATGTGCTGAAGAATCCTGTTAAGACGAGCTGTGGTATCTTTATATGTTGGGTTAAAACTCCCATTTTTCAGGTATCAAAGACTGAAATAAAAGCACAGTCAAAACGTGGATTCAAGCTCATTTTGGAGTCCAGTGTTGCTCTGTAAGCCACACTTCTTTTAGGGCAGGAAACAGAAGTGCCTAGACAGAATCCACAGAGAATGGTTCCTACTGGAACACAGGTGAGAAGAAAATCCTGGCTTCATTCATTGTTTTGGAAGAAGAGGTGGAAACACTGAAGTTCTTTGTCCCTCCAGGTTATCTTATGAACACACTGCCCAGAATAAAGCTTGATAAGAAAAGACTGATCAGTTTGTGAAAGAGTTGCTTAGAAAGGGATGTTCACACAGAAGCTGTTTGAAGACCAGCTTTTTTAGATCATTTCCACCTTCCCTACATACCCATTTCAGCTACTTTCTCAGCCATTCTATCATGTCCAGATGCATTGTACAAAATAAGAAAAAAAAGATTCTTCAGTGGTTTGAGTATTGATCGATAGCGGGAGATGTGAGTTCTCTGACCTCTGCCAATGTCTTGTGTGGTGTTGGGCGAGACCCCTCTGCATTAATTCCCAATGAGTAAAGTGCCCTTGTCTTACAAAGATGTTGTGAAGAAAAACTGTATCAAAAAGTGTGGAGCTCCCAGCTACAGCAGTCAGGGCCACATAAGGAATCTTGTAGACGTGGTCCTGTAGTGATTTTTTTAAATTTATGGTATGGTGCTGGGAACTTTTCATCATAAAGTGTGAAACCTGTGTTATCGGAGGCAGATTTTAACCTTTTCTAAGCTTTCTAAGCTTTTCTTTTTCATCTGCTGCACACAGGATTTATTTCTCACTCAGGCTAAATTTATGTGTTCATTAGAAATGTGAACTAACTCATACTGCCATTTATAGTTTGTAAAAATATTTGCACTTTCTATTACACATGTCAAAGCAGTGTGTGTGATCCATACCTACAAATGTTTAAGCTATAAAATAATTGGGAGTCTAGTCACTTCTTAATTAAAATAACCTGGAAGTATTCCATTTAATGACTTCATAACTGGCATCTAAACATTTACTTCCAGCTTTTTGGTGTTATATTAGATCAGAATAGAAGTGTCTGCAGAAAGCAGTCTTGAAAAGTTGTCTATGTGTATTGATTTTTATAGTGCCATTTGAAAAAGTTGAATGCATCTGAATACAGAAATATGGGTACATAAACAATTTTATTACAGCAGCTGTAAAAGATAGGATAATCCCTTCAGGTCTTTCTTTATTGTTTAGGGATGCTTATAACAAATGAGTGTCTCATAAATACAGAATCAGTGAGTTTTAGGCAGTGTTTTTTCTCTTGATGTATATGCTTTGTAAGTGTCTGTCTGAAGCATCCTTCTAGATGAAGTGAGGCAGGGCTGTTACATGGGGAAATGCAGTAGGGGAGTGCTGGACCATCTTTACATTAACAGACTAGTGGGTGAGGGTGCACATCTATTCAAGTGACAGAAATAAATTATATAAAGAACTGACTCAGTTGAATTTGATATTTCATTGAACAATGGGATCACTTGAGCCCAAAAAACCTGACATTGGCATTTCAGTTACCAGTTTCCCAGCTTTTTGCACTTGGGATTTTGTTTATGCTTTACCAAACATGGTAATAGAGAAAAAGCAAAACCAAACCCCCACTTTAATTTGGGTTCTTGAAACAAATGCCTTGCATTGTGGGAACCCAGTGTAAATATAAGCTGCACTTGTGGGTCGATATTCAAGTTTCAGCAATTGCTAAGGCAGGTGTTGCATTCTATTCAGAAAGATAGTTACAGTATTTTAGCCATTTGTTGCTGTTTTGTTTTGCTTTTCTTCTTAAGAAACATTTCATAGAAGCATACCAGTTCCATGAAAATTTTGCTAGAAATATATATATCTTAGTTTCAGGGTGCAATTTTAGAGACAGGTAGCAGAAGAGTTTTGCAATCCTTAATATGAAACTTTTAATATTAATTCTAAGGTTAAGATCCACAAGGAAAAGTGAAAGAATTGGAAAAGTCTAGAAAAGAGGGGCCATAATAATGATTCTCGACCAGCGGGGTTAGCTCAGTTGGTTAGAGCGTGGTGCTAATAACGCCAAGGTCACAGGTTCAATCCCTGCTCACTGCAGGGGGGTTGGGCTCGATGATCTCTCAAGGTCCCTTCCAACCCAAAGCATTCTATGATTCTATGAATACATGAAAAGTTTGAGCCAAAAAATAAGGAAATAAGGCATGCTCCCAAGATTTTCCTGGGAAAATCTTGCAGTGGTTGAACCAAATAGCCACAATTATCATCTTAAGACCGGTGGAAAACCATTCATAATCCTCACTCCAAGCTTTAACTGTGACTAAAGTAGCATCAGTAGCACAAAGATGCCCCTGGAGCTGTTATATTAGTGTTTTCCTTAAAATGGAAGCTTTGATGTCAATACCCATTGGAAGTAACTTCTTGTGGTAATTTTTGAGGTGGACGCTTGTGTAGGATGTTGATGATGTCTCTGCTGATATACATGCTTTAGACAACCTTTGGTGCAGAATTTCACCATTGCTAGAAATTAGGTAGCTCCATAATTGTCTCATATTAAAAAGGCTTCTTGAGAATTTTCTCCATGTCTTTCAACCTATGTTCAGTACATTAGATGTTGTAAAAGTGACCAGTTGAAAAAATGAATCATGAAACAGGAAATCTGAGTAAGATTATAGATTCACTGAAAAGCTGAATTTCTATCTAGAAAATTCCACCAGTCTTTTGCAAGCAGAAACTGGGCCCCAGGGCACCAAAAATTTGTTAGTAAATCCATTCAGATAGAGATTTTTTTTTTTATGATTGCCTTTCTTCTGAAAGATAAACGTCTTCCATCACCATAAAACCATTAGAGAGATTACCCTGAACCATTGATTCCAGCCCACAAGAGGATTTTATGATGCAAAAGAAGGATTTTTTGAAAGACTTTTGGCAAAGCCTCTTCTGCTGTCCTATCGGACTGCATTGCTTGCAGTCGGGAAAGCACTGCCTTCTTCCAGAACAGTGTATGAAACAATATCTGAAGGGAAGGAGATGGTTAAAGACATGGGAAGCAGTGCTGATGTTTTGTCTTTAAGATAAGCTGCAGATGCACTATACATAAATCATCAAACTCATTGGAATACACTTTGTATTGGGAAAAATAATTGATTTTTTAATTATTTTAAAATGTAAGAAAGCTATGATAGAGAGACCACATTAGAATCAGTGAGGAAATGATATTTTACAATCCTGACAAGTTAATGTCTGAATCAACATCTTTGCAGAAAATTTCAGGAAAAATAAAGGCAATTTCAATCTAAGAGCACACTCTGTATTCTGCAAAATTGTAGATTATTCATACATATGATAGAAGCCAAGTCATTAATATTCAATAAGTCAAAATATTCAAAATACTTCTGAAATTTAAATAGTACAGAACAAATTCTACAGTTAAATTCATATCTGTAATTCCCATGATCCATAATTCTTCACACTTGAGAGCAATTTTAGCAGTTTCAAGTCGTATCCAGGTGATGTGTGTTGAATAGTATTTAACATAGGAAAGAGTTTTTTTTTAAATTGGGTTTTGTAAAACACAACCATTGTAATGGGCCTGTGAATTAAAGAATGTGGAGCATGCCAATATGACAGACAGCTTAATACTGTGCTTTAATAAGCATTACTGTGAAAGCATTATACTGACAAAAGTGAGGGTGCCTTCTGCAAAGAACCCAGCATCTAAATGGCACATGGAGAGCATTTTCTAATATTTTGTATTGGTTTTTGTCTTCTAGAGTATCAGGGCTTCAGGGCTGGTGCTGTTGGAAACCATTCTTTTTGGATCACTTCTTCTGTACTTCCCAGTAAGTCAAACTATAACTTTTTTTAAAAATTATATCCTTGACGACATTTTAAAACACTGTATGAATCACCTTGGTGAAAATATAAATGTCAAAACTATTTATGTAATGATTAGTTTAACCTGACTATAAAAATGTGCTATGTTCTGTAAATATTCTTAAGAACACTTGAATGTTTTACTATATTTGTGATAATTCTCCATTTTCCATTTAGGGAACTTTACAGTGCTTTGTACTTGGAAGTTTTTAAATGTTCGGGGTTAAGCTGAGTTTTTGCTTTGAAAGACAATACCTCTCTAAACTATGCTATGGGAAAAATGTGCAAGGTGTGTAAAAGGAAGACACTGATTATACCAAGTATTCCTCTGGAATGTAGTACAAAGGAGAGTAATTATTTCAGTGTATTACTGACATATATTTTGATGTTTCTGAAGCTACATGACATATGCAATACCATGTATTTGGTAAAGTGAGATGGTATTATCCCTATGCTGTAAGTGGAAAAAAAAGTAATTTCACAGTCACATGAGGAATATATCACAAAACTCACAGAAATATAGATCCTTTCTCTTTTCAAAAATCCCAGAAAAACTGAGTTTGTTAATTGCCATGTAAACCTAATATAATGACTAGATAAAGCAAGACATCAAAGTGTAAATTGAATGAAATTGATAGAAAGCATGCAGATCAGGAGACAGAAACAAAGATGGAATTGTGGATTATTTTAAAATATCTTTATGTTCTCTTTTCCTCAGTAGTCAGAATCATAGAATCATAGAATCATTTAGGTTGGAAAAGACCTTTAAGATCATAGAGTCCAACCATTAACCTAACACTACCAAGTCCGGCACTAAACCATGACCCTAAGCACCATATATATTCATCTTCTAAATACCTCCAGGGATGCTGACTGCACCACTACCCTGGGCAGCCTGTTCTAGTGCTTGACAGTCCTTTCAGCAAAGAAATTTTTCCTAATATTCAATCTAAACTTCCCCTGGCACAACTTGAGGCCATTTCCTCTCATCCTATCGCTTGTTACTTGGGAGAAGAGACCAACACCCACCTGGCTACAACCTCCTTTCAGGTAGTTGCAGAGAGTGATAAGGTCTCCCCTCAGCCTCCTCTTCTCCAGGCTAAACAACCCCAGTTCCCTCAGCCGCTCCTCATAAGACTTGTCCTCCAGACCCTTCACCAGCTTTGTCGCTCTTCTCTGGACACGCTCCAGCACCTCAATGTCCTCCGTGTACTGAGGGGCCCAAAACTGGACACAGTAGTCGAGGTGCGGCCTCTCCAGTGCTGAGTACAGGGGGACGATCGCCTTCCCTAGTCCTGCTCATCACACTATTTCCGATACAATACTTTACCTGGTAAATATGCTGTGGGTGAATGAGATTCTTCTGTGCTTTTACAGCCCATCATGTAGCTACTGAGAGACTAGCTGGAAAACAAAACTCCCTAGCAGTTTCAGAACAAGTAGCAAATAAACTGTAGTAGAATAAGGTGTGAAGAATACTATAGTAAACACAAATCCCGATGGAATTTTTCTACATTATTTTTTGAATCATGTGGACCTTTCAAGTTCTAAAGAAAAAGTGTGCATTTCCAGGATAGTTTTATGGGTTTTTTTAATCTTTCACTTTTCAGATGTCAGGAAGAAAGAAGTTTTGGTTTTTTCCATATTGTACAAATGCTTTTTACAACTTACAATACCTCTCCCTGGGGTTTTTGGAGCTTCTTTAGTATTCTTTTCCAGTGAGCAGAACAGAAAGCCCATGCACTGCTTCCTCAGCTGGTATAGAAATGCTGTGAAGCCTTTCCAGAAATTCATAGCATAAAGCATAATGTGAGGGGTTTCCTTTCCATGGCTGTCTCCTCTTTGCTTTCCAAGAGAACCCTGGAGCCATATAGTGGCTTCCCCAGGTAGCAGTCAGTGTTTGTACAACCTCAACTCCAAAGTACTCCAGAAGCCCCATCATAGGTCTTGCAGTCTTATCACCTGTCACTAATTCTTCAGTTTCTTTCCCAAGAACAAGAGTTCTTGTCTTGAACCTCTAATTGTTGTATTTCACAATGGATTAATGTCTTTTGGTGGCTGTCTGTCTTCAGGTTTCAGGTGCTCAGCATCAGGGATACTTAGATATGGTCGGTGGAAAAAGGCTTCTCTCTTGGTGGTTGACCTGAAGAAGAACCATCCTGTTAGATGCAAGAGATGGCCATCCACAACCTTTAAATGCAGAGGGAGAAGAGAGGAAAGGAAATGGAGCTGGGAGGGAGGGGTTGGATAACCGAAGCATCCTCTCAGTTTTTCGCTAATGTTTAAACATTTCCCCCCTTTTTTTCACTACCATTAACAATGTTAAATGTATAGAAAGTACAAAATGACAATTTGGCATGTTCTGAGGAAAAATATTTTGTGGAAAATTCCTGATTAGACTGTCTCCCAGTTGGGATGTAGATACTTGACTAGAGCTTGTCCTCTGCACATCTCGTTCTCATCATATATAAAACTGTCCACTGAGAACGCCTTCTGCTAGAAACTAGTATGCAAAGTGTATGACCTGACTTTGCTCTTATAGGAGCTTTATGCTCCCACACTCTTTGCTGGGGCTCTCTTTCTTTCTTACACAGGTAATTACTAATCAGGCTGTTACTCCTACAGACTGAAACAAAAACAGAGAGAAATTTTATTGTTTCTATTTTCAAGGTCTTAGCGGAGGGAAGTAGAGAGTGTGGTAGTGGGAGGTCATATTAATGTTTAGACAGAGAAATTAGTCCTGATTTTGCCAACTGCGAGAATATGGGTTTGTAAAAAACAAAGACTGGGACTGATACAGAAATATCAGGATTTCAATATCCCTGTCCCTCAATTCACTGCAAGGAAGATTTCATCAATTTCTGAGCCAGGACAAGACAGTGGAACAGTAAATGTATGAAGATTATAAAGCCTGGCCAGAGAGGTCTTTAAGAAAGACTTTTAAGAAAGAAAAGCCTGTGTTTCTGGAAGGTGTGAATTATGGGGTGTGAGTCCTTAGAATGTGAACTCTTGAAATTTTGCTGTACATGGACAGTATCTAAATGCGTTCAGCTGCTTTTTTTTCTGGAAAAGGAGCACAAAGCAGAGCAAGATGATGTGAGAAGGAAAGAAAATCCAAGCTCTAAATGGAGAGTCTCACTTGCACACACATGTTCATTCACAGCAAGGTGTAGACCATAGATCATCAATTATCCTACTGGTTATAGGTCACATACATGCAGAGCAGATCTTTTTCCTGGGTCATATCCATTGTTTATTTACTTCTTCCTGTTATTTGGTGTTTTTATTTGTTTCTGAGAAGAATTGGGAATATTCAGTAACTCAGTGAGGTGGTTAAAGACTTAGTAATGTGCGCACAGAGGTAGAGTTGTTTCAGTGATTTGATTTGGTCTTCATTCTATGATAGAGGAGCACATTAGAGCTTTAAGACTAATTAATATAGATCTCACTTCTTACATGCCCAAATTAGGCTATGTTTTCCATAGCTGGCACAAAATGCAAGTTAAAATACAGAACAGAGTTCACCAATTTGGGCCAGACAAGCATCACTGCAGTAAGGTGTTCTCCTTCAACATAAGGCTCTTTTCCTTTTTGTATCATTTCTTCTTCTCTTGTGATTCAGAAGGTAAAACCAAATAGCTTTACTTTCATGCTCAACTAAGTGCAGAATTACACAGCTTCCCTTAGTGCATATACAATGTAAAGAGATAAAATGACAGCATTTCAGTTCTAAATAACTCAAATCTCTGTTCCTTTAAGGATTCAGTGCAAAACTACATTCTTATTTAAAAATCAAAGTCCCTTTAGATTTTCTCAACACTGCTTTAAGTCTTTTGCATCTTTACTCTCCACTCCTCTACACTTTCCTAATTCTCGCTTTTTCTAGACCCATTCACCCAGTCTGTCTTGGATTGTTTTGAGAGCCTTCAGCATACAAATTTCGCTGTGTCCGGAAGGGCTTTTATTGCATCTCTGACTTTCCTTACCCTCCAATTAGATGGAAACCAAAACCTACTTTGTTACATCACTTAATTTCTTTCACTAATTGTCATTGTTTTCATGTCTACATGCAGTAATCTATTCATAGTGTCGTATCATTAATTGAAAAATAATATCACCAGCCAGCTGCTTTTGGTGAGAAAAACAGCTGTTGCATGCCCTTCTAACCAAATGGGAAGTGCAAATGATAGTCTCCACCAAAATTTATAATTCAAATTCTTCTATATTGATAACAACATACTAATCTTTCCTGAATTATAAGCAGGCAGATGAGCTTTGTTTATTACAAATGCATAGATTTTACCCAGCAGTTGCTGGGCAGCTGGCATTTCTGAGGCTCTCATTTCTTACATTATCTCTAGTTCTCACAGTAACATCTCTGATTTCCCTTTACTTAGTCTTTCCAGTTGTCAATGGACCTCCTCCAAATGAACACTAGGCCTTCTAATTGAGTTCAGTTATATTTCTTTCTTCTTAGATTTTGAAGAGAGGGACAAAACCTAACTGTCTTATGGAGGAGTCTCTTAACTTCTTGGCATCTGAGGGGAAGATTTTCATTATATTCCTTTTCCAGAAATACTGACTGTGGTGGAGCTTTTAGACCTTTCCTAACTCCCTGTCTCGCTAATGCTTGGAACACATCTTGCATTAACACAGGTTTGAAAACTCCTTGCATGTTGCAAAGACGTTCAAGTAAAGTGAGCACAAACACAATATTGTAATAGAGTAGGGTGTTAATTGCATTAGGGGTCAGATCTCAGCTGATTTTAGACATCTGTAATGGACACAAGCTGGAAAATAGGAAATTCTGGTTAGAGACCGGAAAACAATTTTTTACAATGAAGGTGGTCAAATAGTGGAACATATTGCCCAGAGAGGTAGTGGAATCTCTGTTCTTGGAGGTATCAGGACTTGACTGGACACAGCCCTGAGTGAGCTGACCTGATTAGACCTGCTTTGAGCAGGG